TTAAGGGAGAAATTGAAAATCATGATAAAGGTCATTTTATAAATAATGCATTTGCATTCTTATTTGATGAAATTAGATATGAAGTCGCAGGTAAAGAAATAGACATTGTAAGAAACCCAGGAATTTCTAGTCTTATGAAAATATTGAGCTCTTACAATAAAACTACTAAATTGTCAAATGTGGCATTTGATTCTGACACGAATTTAAAAGAGTTCCATAAAAGTGGCAAGTTTAGTACTTGTTTGCCATTAGAACTGTTAATGGGTGTATTTGAGGATTTTAATAAGGTATTAGTAAATGTCAAACAAGAATTGGTGTTAAAAAGATCCAAAAATGATTTGAATTGTATATTAACAACCACTAGTGCTCCAGCCAGTGGTACTGCTGATATGATTCCTAAAATTACACTTAACTCAATTCAATGGGTAATGCCACATGTAATACCATCAGATGGGGAGAAGTTACAATTACAAAAGATGTTACTGCAAAATAAAAATTTGCAAATTGCATTTAGAAGCTTAGAGTTGCATGAACTTCCATCATATCCCAATACCACAAGACATACATGGTCAGTAAAGACATCTTCAAGTTTGGAGAAGCCTAGGTATATTATATTTGGTTTCCAAACAGCTAGGGATAATAGTGCACGAAAAAGAACTGATGAATTTGATCACTGTAAGTTAAAAAATCTCAAAGTATTTCTAAACTCTGAATATTATCCTTATAGTGATTTAAATCTCGACTTTGAAAATGGAGATGTCTCTAAAGCTTATGAGATGTTTATGAGGTTTAGAGAGACTTACTATAATACTATCCCAGATCCTATGATTAGTAGGGCTGAGTTTATGAAGAAATATCCACTAATTGTAATAGACTGTTCTAGACAGAACGAAACAGTGAAGGAAGGAATTGTTGATATTAAATTAGAGATTGAAACTGCAGAAAATGTGCCAGCAAATACATCTGCATATTGTTTGATAATACATGATAAAGTGTTTGAGTACAATCCTTTGTCAAATGAGATAAATAAAATGTAAATAAAAGATGAAAAACATTCAACAAGAATTGGTTGACTCTGCAAATCAAATACGAGAGAAATATAGAGCTTTAAAACGTGGCAAGTTTCTAGAGGCTGAAGAGAGGTTCCAAACATTCCAACCTTTAATAGAGCCATTACAAGAATTAAAAAAAATCGCCAAAACAGAGAGGCCTCGAATGGAGATTCTCCCAATGACTCCATCTAGAATACCAATAATACCAAGATTACAACCATTACAACAATCTACTCCACAGAAATTAGATTTTGGTCTTTTAGCATCAGACTATTTAGGAAATTACCTCAGTAAAAGTAGTATGACAGACACTACATATGGTATTAGACGAGAAGCAAATAAATTTTTTATTGGAAATAAGGAAGTTGATATTGCCAATGATGATGTTACAATTGCAAATAAAACCTACAAGGGGACAAAAGGTTTGTGGCAATTGTTAACTTTAAAAGAACCTGATGATTATACTCCGGCTGATTTGCAAAATTATAAAGAAATTTTGGAAGCTACAAATGGACATTTAAAGAGTTACAAAGATGGTGCACCAATTTCAAGTAATAGACATACTAAATATCTTAATATAATTAAACCTCTTTTTAAATCTGTTGGTGAAGGTTTGAGACAAGTGACTGGTAAGAAAATAGACTATATTTATTGGGATGATCCTAATGAGCTTGTAGATAGGTTAAGACTTCTTTGGCTAAGTCGCCAAGCTGGTAACTCAGGAGTGGATAATGAAATAGATTCCATTATTGAGGAATTGAGAGAAAGTGGAATTATTTATTAAATAAAAATATGTTTATAGATAAATTTTATCGTTTATATAATCCATATAATAAGCCTGCAGAACCCAGGGCTAGTAGTGAACCTACTTTAAATTTACAAGACGATAGTTGGAATGGTTTAAACCGTAAACTTGGTAATGTTAAAGATGGGGAGTTTGTAGATGATGTATCAACTTTGGGACAGACATTAACTAGAAAAGGTGATGTCTTTTTACAAGGTAAAACTAAATATGAGTTTTTAGAATCTAAGAATAAAAATTGGAATGCTAAAAAACAGAAAATCACTAATGTGGAAAAGGGTGAAAGTTTAGATGATGTGCCCACTTTACAACAGACTTTAATACGAAAAGATGGTAAATTTGTACAAGACAATAATAATTATGAATTTTTAGAATCAGAGAATGGTGTTTGGAATGCTAAGAAACAGAAAATTACTAATGTAGAAAAGGGTAAAAGTTTAGATGATGTGCCCACTTTACAACAGACTTTAATACGAAAAGAAGATGGTAAATTTGTACAAGACAATAATAATTATGAATTTTTAGAATCAGAGAATGGTGTTTGGAATGCGAAGAAACAGAAAATTAGTAATTTGATGGAAGGTACAGATAGTAAAGATGCTGTGAATGTTTCACAAGTTCCAAAAATGGAAGCAGGCTATTGGAGTTTTAATAGTAAAAGGTTAGTACGTGTTAAACCTGCCATTGATGACACTGACTGTGTTATAAAAGAACAGACTATAACTTTTGATAAAAAAGAAAAATGTTGGGATGCCAAAAAACAATTTATAAGGAATCTACCAGAGGGGAAACATTCAGATGATATTTGTCTAATGTCACAATCTATGCATTATGATGGATCAAAATTTGTATATGGAGAAAAAAAATTTAATTTGATGGAATATAATCCTGATTTATTAGTTGCTGACCCCACATCTTTGAGTGGATTTAAGTATATAGATAATAGACCATATATACCAGAAAACTATGTATTTAAAAGAATGGAAGATAATCTATTGATTGGGGCTAATGGTGATGTATTTAGAGTTACAGGAAAGGATGATGTTATAAAAAATGAATGAAATTGCATACGAACTTCATAAACCTGCAAGAAAGAATTTCATTAGAAGGTCTTTTAAAGTATTAGGTATAAATGAAACCGTACAAATAGATTTAATTGATATGCAAAACTATGCTAGAGAAAATTCTGGCAATAAATATATTTTAACTTTAATAGATACATTTTCTAAAAAAGCTTATGCTGCTCCACTAAAGAATAAGACAGGGTTAGTGGTTACAGAAGCCATTAAAACCATTCTACCAAAGGGGGTTAAAAACATTCAATCTGACAATGGAAAAGAATTTTTTAATCAATATTTTAGCAAACTAATGAAAAAATTAAATATTAATCACTATCACACATTTTCTACAACTAAGGCTGCAATTGTGGAGAGGTTTCAGAGAACTTTAAAGAATTGGTTATATAGGGAATTTAGTGCTCAGGGGAGTTATAAATGGTTGGATTTACTTCCAAAGTTAATTCGAAAATATAATAATAAAGTGCATAGATCTATAGGAATGAAGCCTAACCAAGTAAATGTTAAGAATAGTAAATATGTACATGAGAGGTTGACTTCTAAAGTAGAGCAAGTTAAAAAGCCAAGATATAAGGTAGGTGATAGCGTAAGGATTTCCAAGTATAAACATGTTTTTAGTAAAGGTTATACTCCAAATTGGACAGGGGAACTATTTACAATAGCAGAAGTTAAGAATACAAAGCCTGTGACTTATATCTTGAAAGATGAAAATGGCAATATAATCAGGGGAGGCTTCTATACAGAGGAGTTGTTAAAGACCAAGTATAAGGACATGTATTTGGTAGAGAAGATAATTAGGAAAAAAGGTGATTCGTTGTATGTCAAATGGCTTGGGTTCCCAAGTAGCCAGAACTCATGGATTTCCACTAAGGATGTCCAAGGGAGCACGTCATAAGCCAGGAGCATGCCCGAGTTCACGCACAAACCTCACATGATTTTGAAAATATACATGGGAATGGATGTGGATTTGAAATTTTAATAGAGTTTGAACATTTATATAGGCTTGTATTGGACGAGATCCAGGTCTTTTAAAAAAGTGGCCAAAAAATGAGCCATATTCCAGACGTGATTTTTAGTATTAACAAAAATAGAAAATTTATATAGGGGTGTATAGGTCGAGAGCTGGGTCTTTAAAAAAGTGGCCAAAAAAATGAGCCACTCATTTTTCTCATTTTTCCCCTATAAAAAGTGCCCTAAAAGTGCCTCTAAAACGCCGAAAGTGAGGTATCTTTGTCCTATTATATCTACTGCATCACATGGAATGTAAATTTTTCGTACCCATTTGTACATGTCTCTGTAAGAATTAAATACGAAGTGTCGTCTAAAAACGAAATAATGTCCATACCATCAATAAAGACTTCAGGATAAAAAAAAATCATGAAAAAAACACCACCCGTTTTACTGCTTTTGTGAACTGAAAGCCTAACAATTATTTTACCAATGTTTCTGTTTTCACTGTATTTATTTTTATTTATTTATATCGACTAGTTTTTTTTTTAAAATTGATTGATACAGTATCTCAAAGTAATCTTTGTAACTTAACCAGCAAACGATTTGAATCACGATAGACGATTTTAACACCGAGAATGAATTGGAGCCGTAATATAAATTAATAATTAATTGTGGAATAATGTAGAACATTAATTGAACTTTTTGTGAATGAATTCTCAATTCAAGTGTGACTATAAACTAGTAGTTTTATTTTAAATTAAACCATATTATTCAGTATTTGAGTAACATAAAACAGCAGTTGTATGATAACAAAATACAAATATTTTATTTTTTTTATTTTTTTACGATATAGTACTTAAAATAAATTCCACACTAATACAAAATCCCATTTTAATTTTTCCAGATACATAACATACTCTAAACAATTTCTAAATACAATCATCTGCTACAACTACTCCTGCTACCACAAACACAGACATCAATGAAACCCACCATTAAAGTCCCCAGTTATCGATTAACGGGTTACGTAACTATCGATTGTGCGATATATCGAATATCGCATCGCTGAGACCGAGGTGGAGGTGGAGGTAAGGTTATGTTATATAACCATCTCTAACACCGCCGAGGTAGCTGTAGCTGTAGTGGACAGTGTGTTTAGGCCCTTGCTAGCTGTAAGTTATGTTCTTATAAACAGTGGACTAGTGTGTGAGTGCTATACAAGATGGGAGCCGGAGAAGAAACCCAACCTTTGTTGGTGTCTGCCAAAAAGAAGACTTCTGCTTCCAAAACCTACAGTGCGCTCGGTTATGTAAGTACCATTGACCCTGCAAAATACTTGTCCCGTCTTTTGGAATCGCATGCCTCAAATTTTGAATTTAGCTCACTGTTAAAATAAATCCCTTTTTCCCAATGGTTATTTTTCTGTGATTTATGGTTGGGATTGCTACATTTATTGAAGTTTAAGCTCAACATCCAGTATCAATTTACCTATCGCAAATAAATACATTTTTAGATTTAAATTTTTTTCTCGTATACACAATTTGGTTATACATCTAGTACCGGTACTGCTTAAGATAATACATGATCACCTCCATTGCAATGGTTGATAGTTATGAGATTTAAAATATACAAACTTTAGAATGTAAACTATTTGTGAAGTTATGTAAATCTCATATCAATCGTTCTCAGGTTTCCCAAGTATAATTAGCATCTTTGCAAATTTATGTAACATTAGTTCTCTTATATAACATCTTTTGAGAGATTATTATTATATAATTTTACTCTTAAGTGTTTGTTTACTATTTATACTATGCGGATTATAAATGGTATGATGGGTTTCGTTTGTCATCGTGCGAAATTCGAATGCCCAAGGTCACACGTGTGAAAATGCAAATTTCAGTAACATTAGATCATGAAGTTCTTAAAAAATAAACCAGACCAATATTCATAATCAATAATTAATTATAATATTTTGGTTGAAAATATAGGTACGTACCATATTTTTGAATGATTCACCAAACTAACTAGCTCACTTACATTTGTCAATTCTATTTTTAGCCCCACAATCAGGTGAATGGGGTGCGTACCCTTTAAACCGGCAACCCTTTAAAATAGTGATGTATTAATACAAAAGTAGTTTACTATTGTATCTCATAATGATTTTCCCAACAAATATAAAGACATCTTCCTACAGTATCCTACGTAAACAAATCAATAAGTTTACTGATATGAGACAAAAAATCGTACCAACTGAGAATTGTAAGAATTCGTAAAATGTACATGTTTAAAATTTGTTTAAAGTATAAAATGTCGGCCATATTACAGGTTATGCTGAATAATGGATGAGGTCTAATTAGGTCAACGTATAACTAGCAATTTAAACCAATGAGAGATCATTAAATCATTTTTTGCTAATACAAAAACGTAAGGGTAAAAACTGATATTAGAATGAATGAATGGATAGCAATAAATACACTCATTGTTCATTCATAGTCTTATCAGTTTGTAGATGCGTTGTGAGTGTTACCTAATAGGCCTACACATTGTTGTGGTGATATAACTAGGCGTATTATGAATGAAACATGAGTGCCGGGTAGGGTAAACACCTTTAGTAGTTTTTGAGGCCAGAAATGCAATAATCGTTGTTCGGACTCAATTCAGCATCTTTTGGATTACTAAGTAAACTCGCTAACTCTTTACTAGCTCCGATAAAATCCTTGAAAAGTTTACAAGAATCATTTATAGGCCTGAGTAAAGAATGTAATCCGTAGTTGCCTTTTAGAACTTCATACATTTTCAATGCATAAATAGAACCTCATGCAAATGGACCTTATGTAATTAAACTCAGTACAATAGAACCACATTCAATAGAACATCGTATAGTAGAATCTCATTAAAAAACACCTCATCCAACAGAACCTCTTGTAACCAACCTTATGCAACAGCAAATCATTCTCTTAGAAACTAATGCACTAGAACATCGTGTGATAAACCTCGTGCAAAAGAACTTCATCCAATACTCCAGAACTCTTGCAATAAACCTTATGCAAAAGTGCCTCATGCGTTAGGAACTAATGCTGAAGGACCTAATGTATTAGAACATCATATAGTAGAACCTAATGCAAATTAATCTCACCCGATAGAACCTCTTGCAATGAACCTAATGCAAGAGCACCTCATGCCTTAGGAACCTAATGCGGAAGAACCTCATGTGATAGAACCTCATGTAGTAGAACCTTATGCAAAGGAATCTCACCCAATTTAACCTCTTGCAAAGAGCCTTATGCAAAAGCACCCCATGATTTATAACCTAATTCAATAGAACTTCATGCATGCCTCATGCAAGAGAACATCGTGAAATAGAACTTCATGTATGCCTCATGCAATCGGATAGAGTGTTGGCTCAGATATCGGTGAAACCTCGCATGGTTTTTTGTCACCAGAAGAAACCCGACCCGACCAGGTAGGCTCCGTTAGCCATGTAGACTGGAAGCTGTTTGATCATTGGCCTTATTTATAAAAAATAACCTTCATCTTCAGCATTGGGAAGAGATTATATAAAAAAGATAAGATCGAAATTCGTGGAAGAATTCAATTAAGATTTTAATCTGAGGTCTTCTTGTCCCTTCATTTTGATCCATCATGTCTCCGAAAAACATATTCGATCTACTGTACTGGTAGGAATTTTGAAGTGGTACATGAAACGTAATCGTCGGTTAAACGGTGTAAATTATAACCTTTGATAAGTATCCGGAAGTCAATTGTATAACTTTACTGGGATACGTAAATTAATTAATCAGAATCTTATATGTTAAATAGCAAGAAAGAAAATTGCATAATCTTTTATTTTTCTTAGCTTGCACAGGAAATATTGCTTTACATTACAGATTTCTCATCTGTAAAGTTAATTGCCCTTTATGCCTACTAAAACAATAGGATATGAAGTAAGGTGAAAAGTTAAACCCGAGTAATAGTTTCATCGTGTTTACAACAATATAATTGTGACCTCGTAAGTTTGTCAAGTTTGAAGATATTCGATGATTTGAGAATAGAGAAATTGCTATGGTATTATATTGGGTAATGGTTAGCTGGTCCCGTAATCCGAGGGTCGAAAAAGGTCAGGGATTAAAACGACTCCACTGGTCCCGAGGGATCCAGGTAGTTTTGGGGTGGCTAATCCAGCGGGGCAATGAGGCATGAAGCGTGATGTAAACAAACAATAAATACTTCAAATAAATACTTTGTCAAAGAATTGGGCGAATTTTTTAGTTCCCTCACCAGGTCATCATGTCATCGCAAAGCTCTAAACAATGAATCACTTCAATGTACAGGTCAAATACAGCAAATACTTGCAGCGCTCTCAGCATCATGAAGGTGGCGAATTTGGGGTTTCGAAGCGAAGTCTCCCCTACCTTCAAAATGCACCACTATGACGGAAAGTCTAAATACCTTTATGCTACTCCTTCTCCCAATAAATCCCCGATGTGTGTTAGGGAATGGAGTAAGCAGACCTATATTTTGTCATGTTAAAAATAAAGGTTTTTAGTCAACGGGGGGCAACTTCAATAGAACACGATGTTGCGACATGTATACAGAAACTATTCACGAGGACCTGTCTTCATGGTGGAACGGTGGAGCAAGACCCCGCTAGAAAAACGTGTTTTTCTAGTGGGGCCTTGGGTGGAGTTGCACGAAAATTCGTAAGTAAATATTTATTTGGTGTGTCTTCATGTTATTAACCGCAGTTTTAAACGAAAAAAAATTCACACAAGATATTGGAAAAAGCGAATTTAATAAAATGTCGTGATAAATATTTTTTTTACCAGTATTTTGCGTGTTATCATATATACTGAAAGTAAATATGAATACGTCCAAGAGATTTGATTAGATTTCATCAACTTACGCAAAAACGTAAAAGCGTATCTTATTTTTGTTTGGTTGCATAATTTTACATTACAGAGTTGTTAATATTTCAGCGATAAAATATATATGGATTATAATAAAATTTTTTTGTAAATTATTAAATGTGTTTACAATATTGTTTTAAATATTAAACCAAATTAACCACAACCGAGCAAGGCTCGGTCCCCCGGTACTTAATTTTCAACTAAAATAAATCTAAACAGTAAAGAAACCTAAACTGTAAACTTATTATGTAACACGAAAATGAGACTTCAACTAATTTAAATAAGATCTTTGAAATTATTGGAAACATAAAATATTTAGTAAAAAAATTAAGTTATGTAATATTTGTAGGCATTAGTATCGGTACCTATTAGTATCCCTAGGAATTAAAACCCAATGAATTCTGCCCCATTACTGAAACTCATTCGCTGAAATTTCTGATTATGAGTCCTTGGAGAACCTAGATGTTCTAACTCACAAAACAATTTAAAAATACAAAGCAAATTTCTAATTTCACAGTATACTATAAACTATAATCACTTTGATATTTGAAAAAATATTTTGAGGTCGTAAATAACTCTTCAGCGGCTGTTTGAAAATGACAAAATTAACATTGCTCGTATGGTGGGCAAATCCAAGATGGCCGTTGGCTTCCATGGACTCCCTTGGAAATACATTCAAAACAACAAACAACATGTCTAACCTCACAGTATACCAGATATTTACATTGTAATCACTTTGGTGTTTGAAACCCCATTTTTGGATGATAACTAACTCTTCAGCAGCTGTTTGAAATTATCCAAGATGGCCGCTAGCCTTCAAGAACTCTCAAATTCACAAGCATATTATCATACTATACATTTAATCCAGTGCTTTTTTTAGCGAATTTCCCATATAGGGAATAAGCTATTACCGTAGTACTCACGGTAAGACCTGGACCCGGGACCGATTTTTTTTCTTTTTGAGGTCCCTAGAGGTCAAAAACACCATCCGTTCAAATTCATATATATATATATATATATATTTATATATGTGTCCGTTAGCGCGATAACTCGAGCAAAAATGATCCGATTTTGATGAAATTTGGTACAAACGTGTAAACCTACGTTTATTCGAACGAGTTCGCGAACCAGCATGATCGGACCATGGGAACGGGGGTTTATGGGGGCTTTTATGGGATAAAAATGGGTTTTTCCCATTTTTGGCAAAAAAACATAAAATTTTGCAATTTCTTTCGAAACTATTTTGTAGAGCTTAAAAAAAACAAATAATTTAGTATATTGAAGCGTTATAATGCGCCTAATGGTTACGGAGAAAATTCCAAAAAATTGTAAATTTAAAATTCCCATGTTATTCTTATGGAGAATAAGTAAACTGTTGTAGTTTGCTTGTTTATAAACATAT